CGCCTGCGCTCTTCACACGCCTCCTGCAGGGCATGTTTGGTAAAGTTCCTGCATGCAGGCTGCCGCCAAGCAGAGGGAGTAGCACAGCTAAGGAAAAGGGTAAAAAAAAATGGCGGACGGCGTTGTTTGGCGACCCCTGTGAAATGGTCGTGCGACCCCAAATGGGGTCGCGACCCACAGGTTGAGAACCGCTGGTTTAAGCGATTCCTATGTTGGACTGATATCAAGGCTCTCAGCCACGGAAGCTCACTAGGTAATCCTGAGCCAATCATTCTCTCTCACCTTATCCTACATCACAGGGTTGTTGTTGTGGAATAAAATGGAAAGATGGAGCTCTATGTACGCTATTTTAAGTTTTAAGAAAGTCCAGATATAAACGTAAAAAACAAATTACTATAAAGTAAGATATAAGTAGAAGTCGTTAATGTGTAGATTCCTTTTCAAAGTTTTTCTTGTTCATTTGAAAGAAACTACAATAGGCATTTAATATAAAAAGCAGCAGAGAGCGGCCTACAATTTCTTTATGTTCTTATGATCAGTGTCAGAATAGTGCAGACTTCCTCTTACTGTTTATTTTAAAAAGAAGACGAAGATCCATATGCTTTGTATAGATAGTCCTCTACTTATGTTTAATGACCATTTGAAGTTACAATGGCACTGAAAAACCTATAACCATTTTTCACACACGACCATTGCAGCATCCCCATGGTCAGATGTTCAGAATTCAAATGCTTGGCAAATGACTCGTATTTTTGACATTTGCAGTGTCCCAGGGTCATGTGATCACCTTTTGTGACCTTCTGACAAGCAAAATCAATGGGGAAGCCAAACTCACATAACAACTATGATACTAATTTAATAAATGCAATGATTCACATAACAACTGCTGTAGTAAAAGTTGTAAAATGGGGCAAAACTCAATTAACAACTGTCTCACTTAACAACAAAAATTTGGGGGTCAATTGTAGTAGAAGGCAAGGACTACTTGCATACGTAAAAGATACAAAGGGAAATATATAAAGCGGTATTAAGAGGTGTGATAAGGTGCTTTAATAAAAGTCCATCAATTTATAGTGCATATTCAACTCTATTCATCATCGAAAAAGAGGAAAGATCTACAGATTTAGCACTGATTATTACATCATGGCCCATAGTAACTGGGGATAATGGGAGTTGAAAATTCAACATATACTGAGGGTATTAGATAGGAGAAGACTGATCTTGATAAAACTCTCAACCTTACTGAATAGCACATATTAAATCAATGTAATTGGATCATTGTTTACTTAATGTTTGCTTTGAATTTATACATGGATATTCAAGTATTATTTTATAGGTATTCATATGATCTATAATGCCACTTTTTTAATAAAAGTACTTATTTTAATTATTTCAGCATGCAATGTAAATGTATGAAAACAAATTGGAAGTACATTATAACTTTGCCAGTTATTCTTGCATTATCTTCAAATAAAAGCAACAAGCATCCTTCTACAGAGAGAAATTTTTTGGAGGAAAGCAGTTCAAACAATACCTTAACCTGATTGGCAGATTCTTTTAGCCCACTGTGAGACTTAGACTTAGGGTTTGGCCACTCCTCTCCAAGAAGGGATGTCCTCAAAGAAACCTTGTTTAATTGCTGAATATAAAGGAACAGCAGGAACTGAAGCGTATCCACAGATAACTAAGGAAAGATCCAAAATTTAGACTCATATAGAATAATTAGTAAGGTTATTTGATTTTCATTCAACAAAATGTACTTAACTGGGATAGATAGACTACTGCTTAAATTTCAAATAGCTGAAAGTATTCTAAAAACTAAACAATGTTTGGTCCACCTACATTAGTGCTCTATGCTGCAATGTATATCAGAAAGAAATAAACCATTTGGGAGCAATGACAAAAAATTACAAACAGTTAAAAATTTAAATTCCTTAAAATATATATTAAAAATATGATTAGTTCATACCCGATTTCTTTGCTTCTCTGTCTCTTCCTCAGTTGTGCAGCTAGATATCACTTCTGCCCATTCCAGTCGCTCCTCCGAAGTCTGCTCAACAAGACTGTCAAACAACTCAAAGTAAAGCCATGCCAGGTCTTTCTCTAACTGTAGTTTTCCACAAGCAATGTGTCGCCACATAGACCAGGTAAGGTACGGATAATAGCCTTTACCAGAGCGCATTCTGACATAGGTTGACATTTTCCGAAGGTAATGCATGCTAAACTTGGAAGGAGGAGGGATTTGCAATGCTCCCACTATGAAAGGCTCCATCTTCACCCACAAACTGACCGAAGGTTGCTCCATTTTCAAAAGGTGCAGAGTTTATATATCTGAATTTGAAAAAGCAGAAATACCACAAAGTGCTATTTCCAGACCTGTCTCCAATTCAAATATACATGAAAATGAATGAATTTTGCCATATTAATTTCTCCTGATTACCTCATGTTTAAATACTTATGTCTTGTACATCAAATCTAAAAATTCTCCTGGTTTATCCTATTTAAATATTTATTACCGAAATATACACATTAAATTTCACCTATATCAGGTCAAGCAAAACTTTTGCAGTCCAAGACTGCATTTTAAAAAAATGTGCATTAGGCATGGTGCTAACGTGAATATTCATTGGATGATGGAAAACACCAGAATATTCAGCCCAATTTCCCCTTTTGTGCCCACTGGAGGAAGCATTAAATGGATAAAAGTGCTGTACTAGAGGTGATGCTTCTTTTACTTCATATCACCATGGAAAGCTTTTGCCAAATTTCAGCAGCACAACCATGAGAAATTCTGGGGGCATACAGTAAGGGCAATGAGTAACCATGGATTGCAAATTATTCAGTCCTATTCTGCATAGAAAGAAAATGAGTAATAGGACATTTAAATTCTGTATTTGTTTAATAGACTTGCCAGATAGTGGATCCTGCATGGCGCTTGTTCGTAAGTAATTTTGAACAGCAGCTATATTTTTAATGGATCCAGAGCTTAGAACCTTAAGAGCAGCTTTGGCTTATTAATCCTTTCTCATACAATGAAAGATTTTGAACAGTCCTTTTTTACTTATTCACCTCAGCAGTTCATTCAAAGGAAGGAGCAAATGAAGAAAACACTCTTAAAGTTTCCATTTATACTTATTCATTAAGTATGGTAATCTCTTTACTTTCCTTGCTATAATCATATTCATCCTGGTAATTTCTCCAGCAATGACCTTGAACTAGAGTTATTTGCAGAAAGTCATAGTAAGTGGTCTGAATCTGGGATTATATGGAAGAGAACATTTGGGAGACCAATCTGAATCAATCCATCAATCATCCAAGAGTTTGTATTCTCATAAATATCTCCATATAAAAAATAAAACCAAAGCACATTTCAAGTTAATTCAATAGTAAAACAAACAGAACAATCAATATGGCCTTATCCTGATTTCTAAAATTTGGGAAAAAAATGTAACGAAGATTTTGATATTCAATTGTATATTTATTAATAACAATAAGAATTGTATTTGCCTAGTGTGGGAAAACAGGTACTACCAGAAGAGAGGAAACATTTGATGGTGTAATATTGGATCTAGATTGAAGAAGTTAATATATACCACTGAATTACTAATGGACCCAGACAACACGTTGTC